GAGCAGGTGCTAACCCTTCCCCACCTTGGCTCCCCACAGCCCTGGTGTCGCCTCCTCCTTCCAGACACGAGCTGGGGCTGCCAGACAAGATTCAGGCAGGACCAGGACAGGACCCTGAACCTACTAAACTTTCTCTCTCTTCCATTAAGCACCGGCCTGGCAGTGGGCATCACCCAGGCCACTCCAAGAGGATCAATAGATGGAGGGTATACTCCCTTGAGGATGGCCCCCTGCTCTAGGGAACCTCACAAGGCGTGAGGACTGGACAGGCGGGAGGCAGAAGCCGGGTGCAAAGGCTGATAGCTCCTTGCTCCCTGGTCTACTTTGGAACAGGTCAGAGAAGTTCCCATCACGGCCTACAGAGCAGCTCTGCGGGCCCAGCCAGACACCAACCAGACACCAACGTGGACCCCAGGCCAGGCGTCAATCCCAGGAAACACATGCCATCTCGGTTTAGGGAGGACTGAGAAATCCACTCACAATTGCAAGGGCTGGGGCTTAAAAATACTCAGCCTAGCGGAAATAAGGTTACCGCCTGGGGGCAGAATTCCTTCCGGGGGAAGAAGGAGGGGGAGGAAGAGGAGGAGGCCAGGAGACCTTGGGCAGTCCCCAGAGGCAGCTCCCAGCAGAAGCGGAAGCCCAGGCTCTCCATCTATTAGAGGGAGGAGAGGAGATAAACAGAGGGAGCCTAGCCTCAGCAGGGAAGGGAGATCCCCTGCCCCCTCCATGACTGGCCAGGGTCCTAAACTGCTCCACCCAGGCCTGGGTGTGCACAAGGCGGCCAGGAGCCGTCACGGCAGAACCAGCACAGCTCTGAAGGCACCTGAGGCCTGCCCAGCAGCTGTCAAGGTGCCCGCCCTCCCCGCTCATTCTGGGTCCACAAAGACTTAGGGGTAGGCACGGGTGGGTAACAGTTTAGATCCTTTCACTTTCACAGGACCGCTCCCACCCCACCCCCATCCCCACCCCCTCAGACCTAGCAATTCCCTTCTGGGAGTCTGCGCAACAGGGAGAAGTAAACAAAGCTGTTTCTACTAACTGATGTGGCACCCCCCTCCTACCACAGCCCGCAGCCCCACAAGTACCAGGTCAAATTCCATTATCCAAATAATCAGTGTGAAATTGCACTACAATTTCTCGGTCCCAATCTTTAAACACATCACTGATGGAGTTTCTGGGTACTGTGGGGATGGGAGCCCCTGTATTCCATCCACTTGTCCCCCAGTGCCCATGGTCCAAGGAGAAATCAGGGTCCCAGAATTCCATTCCAGTGTCCAATGTGGGTGGCAAGGATTCCCCTCCTTACCGCCTCCCAGGGCGCCCAGCAGCAGGAAGCTGGGATTCAAAGCAGGCCCTCTCCGATGGCTGAGCAGACTGCTACAGGCAACTCCATCCAGCCAAGGGCCCCCACACAGAGCTTGTGAACTTTTCCTGGCATTCCACAAATGGACTAGAAATTACTTCTTTTTGAAAGATTTATTTAAAAGGCAGAGGGAGAAGGGTCTTCCATTTGCAGGGTGGTTCACTTCCTATAGGGCCGCAACAGCTGGGGCTTAGCCAATCTGAAACCAGGAGCCAGGGTCCTCCTCTGGGTGTCCTACATGGGCACAGGGTCCCAAGGCCTTGAGCCGTCCTTGACTGCTTTCCCAGGTTACAAGTAGGGAGCTGTATGGGAAGTGGGGCCACCGGGGTTACAACTGGTGCCCATATGGGAACCCGGCGCATGCAAGGCCACTAGGCTACTGGGCAGGGCCTCGACCCTCTTTTCAAAGTCAACTTGCCGTCATGAGGGGACTGGGTGAGAATGAACGTGACTTTTGCACTGCTTCAGCCTTTCCTCTTTCTCCCACAGGCAAGGGCTCAGCAAGGAGAGGAGGAAGAAGGGGGCTTTTTATCTTGGGCATGGCAATGTTAAGATTCTCATGGGGAAACTTGGGGGATTCCCTGGGCCTGGGAGTCCCCAGAAGGCCTCACCACCAGTGCCACCTGCACTGCTGGAAGAACACCCTGCTCTTCTTCTGAGGACAGCAGCAAGGGATGGAGCTGCTGACACATCCCCGTCCAGCTGCTGTCGCCAGCGTCAGAGTGGAAGGAATCTGGTCCCAGTCATCCCAACATGCTACTTTCTGCCTTGTGCTTTTTTGCAGCCACCAGGCCTGGGGACAGAAAAGCAGGCAGGACTTTTGGTCCTTCAAAGAAAGTCTTTCTTAAAAACATTTTTTTTTTTTTTAAATTTGAAGTATATTTATCTTACTTGAGAAAGTTACAGAGAGAGAGGGAAAGACAGAGAGAGGATTCATGTGCTGGTTCACTACCCAAATAGCCACACTAGCCAGAGCTGGGCTGGTCTGAAACCCAGAGCCAAGAGCTTCCTCTGAGTTCCCCACATGGGTGCAGGGGTCCAAGGACCCAGGGGTCATCCCCCACTGCCCTCCCAGGCCACCAGCAGGGAGTTGGACTGGAAGTGGAGCTGCAGAGACCAAAACTGGTGCACATATGAGATGCTGGTACTGTAGGAAGAGTAATCCTTGATACACCACTGGGCCAGCCCAAAAGAGTTTCTGTACCAGTAACACCTGCTCCAGCCTCAAGAGGCTGAGGAAGCAAAGCCAAGGGCAGGTAGCCCAAGTGACAAGGACCTCTGTCCAGGATGAATCTTCCCTCTTTGGCAGCTAAAGAAAAAGTGTTCTACCGAAGCCCGAAGCCCTGGATTCTGGTCCCTTTCTCCACTTCTGCACCCCAAGCTCCACACACACAGCAGGGTGCTGGGTTAGGTCTAAGGATCACATACCACAGCCAAGTGCACAGCAATAATAAAGCATTCAGGTATGCAGCCACCACTCAGCTCTCCAGATCTGGCTTTCCCGAGTTTCAGTGATAGGGACATCCCGCGTGCGGGGGCAGGGGGAGGAGCCAGTGCAGGAGCCAGATGGCGGCTTTGGTGACATTTTTCAGAGGGTTCCTATGTATCCAGTATGGCGAGAGGGTGGAGGGGTGTTCACCAGGCCAGAGTAGGCGGAAATAACAACCGAAAATGACAAAGGGGAATCTTAGAAGCAAAAAAGCTGTTAAGTTCTGCGTTAGGCTTAAACACAAAATGAACCATAGGAAAGTAGGATATGCTCAGGGGACAGAAGGGCACCGCAAGCCCCTCCCACACCAAAAGCATCACCATGTGCCAGCAGCAGGCACAAGAACTTCAGGACCTTCAGGAGCAGGAGGAACACGGACTGGGTGGCCCCGGGGTCCTCACACAGCAGCAGGAAGAGGCTCCATCCAGTGCAAGCAAGAACGCTGGCAAGGTGTCCAGACACAGTCCCCAGGCAGAGGGCACTTTCCTGAGTGCCATCAGAACAAAGATACAACTCCAAGAAGAGTCAGCAAAGATGGACCCTGGGGGCCATGTGTTGGAGGCCAGCAGGTTACACCGCTGGCAATGCAGGTTACACCGCTGGCAATGCAGGCATCCCATGTCAGAATGCCAGTTCTAGCCCTGGCCACTCCACTTGCGATCCAACTCCCTGCCAAGGAGTCCCAGAAAGCAACAGAAGACGGCCCAAGTGATTGGGTTCCTGCTCCCACAAGAAGCTCCAGCACCAGTGATCAGCAGCCATCACCAGTCATCAGCGGCCATTTCCACCAGGGGAAGACCTCTCTCACTCTGCCTTTCAAACAAGTCACTTAAGTATTTACAAGGAAACGAAGTTTTAAAGACAAGAAAAAGATGTGATCGCTGAGATGTGTGAAGAAGGGCAGACAACACATGAGGGCAATCCCAATGCCAAGGCAGAGTCAGCTGTACAGCCACAGGACCCGCGTCGCGGGGCAGGGGAAGGGCGTTGCCTCCTCACAGACTGCTGTGGCTCACAGAGGGGCCAGCAGGGGACAGCTAAAAGACCAAGTCCCCCAGGTAAGGATTTCTGACTCATTTGGGATCTTGCTAAATGATCTGTAAGTGCAGGGTATGGCTTGGGACTCGGCTAGGGGGTGGGGGTCAAGCTTTTGGTACCTCAGGGTATATAGATCCCAATCAAGTTAAGAGCAGCCAGTCTTGGGAGCATTAGTCCAGCTGGAGTCAGAGCACCCTATAAGCTACAGGCGCCCCCTGAGGAGGAGGGTGGCTGTCTTCTGAAGATGCTCCTGCCGGGCTTATCCAGGCGAACAGAGAAGCAGGATGTGCCCGCCCGCTGAAAGGTGTCAATATCGCCAAAAGCACTCCCAGCTCTCCACTGACTCTGGGGAGGCAGCCAGCAGCCAAGTCCTGCGACGCGCGCGCGTCTAGATTTAATCAGCTCTGCCCCACCCACTCATCCACAAAAGCTCCCTGCCCCGGCTTCCTCCAAGCCAGAGGTGACTGCACTATGCGAGAGCCGCCCCCCACCCCGCCCTGCGCCCCCCGCCGCCGTGTGACTCACCCCTACAGAATCAAATCTGTGCCCTGCAGCTCCGCAGGCATCAGTCCCTGACCTTCCTCGCTCTACCCCAGCCCCAGGGCACCTTTCCCAACTCACCTCGCCCCCTTGGGCGCCACCCCCAGCCCTGGTCCCAAAGTTGTCTCTGGCCCTTCATCAGGTGTGTCCCCAACTCTCCACGCTATCCCAGTCCCCACCGCCTCGGCCCGACCGTAGCATCCCACGGCCTCTCTCGAGAAACATGCCTCGTGTCAGTTCCATGGGGGTTGTTTCGGGTGGCCCTCTCCGAGGCTGAGGTCCCATAAGCACCCCTCCCCCGCTTTGTCTCGCCCTACGGCGCCAAGTGAAGTGTCGGCTGCACAGGAAGTGCTCGCGAACGCGTCCATGCTGGGCTGGGGGCAATCCCCGGCGGGGCGCACAGACTCGATCGGCAAGGCAAGGTCCAGTCAGCCGGGGGCAGGACCGGAGCGCAGGGCCGCGCAGCCGTCTGCACCTTCCCGAGCGTTGGCTGTGCCGTCCCGGGCCGGCGTGCTTTCCTTTCCGAGCAGCGGCACGCGCCCGGGGCCACCCAACTCCAGCTGCCCTCACCTTGTAAACCTTGCCGAAGGCGCCGTCGCCCAGCTCGCCCACGATCTCCCAAACCTCGTTGGGGTCCAGGTCCCGGCGGACGTGCTCATATTCGCGGGACTTTCTCTTCTCGAAGGTGGATAGGCGCAGGATGCGGCGGAAATTGGCGAAAGCCATGACCGGAGGGCGCGCGAGGTGGCGCCTCCGCGGGCTCGGGCTCCGGCTTGGGCTGTGGCTCCGGAGCCTCAAACAGCGAGGGAGCTGGCGGACGCCGAAGGAGTCAAGGATTCTCCTCAGACCCGCCCTTCGCGACAGCCGGACCCGCGTCAAGTGCGCCGTGGGCAGTGCCGCGGCAGGAACACCCGGAACCGCGCAGGCACCCGCGTCCCCGCCTCCGCCCTGTCCGGTGCCCCGGGCCGCCCCTGGAGTGCCCGCCCCGCTCGCGCCACGCCCCCGCCCTCTCCAGCCCGACCGCCCCGGGAAGCGTTCCGGGGACCCGGCCCGGCGACCGCCCACCCTCTCGGCTCCACCTGCAGCTCCGGGGCGACGCCCGGAGACCCCCTAATTGGCTGAGGGCGCTCCGAGCTCCGCCCGTCGCCGCGGGGCACTCTGGAAACTGTAGTCGTCGTGCACCTCGGGCCGCGAGCCCCAGATCAGGGTTTCAGAAAGCTCGGGGAGACCCCTCGACTGGACCGTTGCAGGTCGGCGCCTGATGCACGTCGAAGCTCCCAAGATGTTTGTGGGAGCGAGAGGGGGAGGGCCTGGCGCGAGCTCCCACTGATTGTTGTCAGTGCCAAAAAAAAAAAAAAGTGAACCCCCTCTGAGCTCCCCGGATGGCCCCGAAACCCCTCTGCCAGGTTGTTCTGGAAGCCCCCCTCACCCTCTCTCCACACTTTAAAGCTGAGGACGCCGGCGGACACCGGGACGGGCCCGGGCCCCCGGGGCACACATGCTGGCGGGCCCTGGCGGCGGTTCCTCGGCGCGGTGCTGCCTCCTAGTGCGCGAAGTGCTGCTGCCTTGCAACTCAAGCCATCGCAAGTGACCACAGCTCCGGGCACCACAGGGGCTGCCCCACAACCCTGCCAAGGTTAGAGAGCCCTGGGAGCCAGCGGCAGCTCTGGGGTTTACGTATCTCCTGCTTCTTTTAAAATTTATACCTTACTAAGTGGGACGCAAAGATTGGTTACTCCTCACTAAGGTATTGAGGATTTCTCTGCACACCCCTCCTAAAACTGTTCTGCACCTCAACTGTTGACATATGTCTTGTTAGAGTTATAAGCCCGTCTAGACTACCCCCCCCAAAAAAAAAAGAGAGGAAAAAAAGCCAAGTTCAGCAAAATTATGCTTTAACGTTATATAATGCTAAATATTATAATGAACATAGACACAAGACAGCTGAATGGTCATCTATAGCCATTTTAAGGTGTATAAACTAAAATTGAGATGTCAACGAAGGAGTCACAGGATGTGGGAAGGAACTTGCATTTTTTTAACGTGTTGGTTACTCAATACTATATCAATTAATTCCATAACATTATAAATTGTTGCTGATGTTATGTCTGGGCTTTTAATTGGTAGGGATGATACTCTGCTGGCTTTACCTTGGGGAGAGATGGTCTCCCCAAGAAGCCGTTGAATTTGTCTGGACAATGAGATGCTGGACTCTATGCTTGGTATATGCTCGCAATGGAAGAATCTCAACTGATCTTGAACTGTGGTGGCACAGCAAGGTGGAGGAATCCACCATGGGGGAGGGTGATGGGAAGGGTGGGAGGAGTCCCAGTGCCTATAAAACTGTTACATAATGCAATGTAATTAATAAAAAAAAAAAGTAGGGCCAAGTGCGATGGCTTAGTGGCTAAATCCTCACCTTATAAGCGCCAGGATACCATCTGGGTACCAATTCATGTCCCACCTGCCTGCCTTCCCATCCAACTCCCCACTTGTGGCCTGGAAAGGCAGTGGGGGGCAGCCTAAAGTCTTGGGACCCCAGAGGGAGCTCCTGGCTCCTGGCTTCGGATTAGCTCCACTCTGACCATTATAACCACTTGGAGACTGAACTAGCAGATGAAAGATATTTTTCTCTGTCTCTCCTTCTCTCTGTCAACCTGCCTTTCCAATAAAAATGAATAAATCCATAAAAATAAAATATTTATTTATTTATTTTCACTTGATTTGAAAGAGAGGAAAAGAGACACAATAGATCTTTCACTCCCTGATTTACTTCCCAAATCTCTTGAGACACCCAGGGCAGCGCCCGGAACTTGGAGGTATCCAGGTGCCCCGTGTAGGAGGCAGAGATTTCCCAGCCTGACTCACCATCCTGTCACCTCCCGGAGAATTGTACGCGCTGACTGACCTGCAGCAGAGTACGCGGGACTTGATCCCAGCACTGTGGTGTGGCATGTAAGCAGCCCACGTGCTGGTTTAACTCATTGTGTCACACGCCCACCTGTTTTTTAACTTAGTAATGTCATTGGGGTTCGGTTGACTTTCAGTAAGCAGAACATCCAGTGAGGTTTGATAAAGCTGTGCTCCCACCACTATCAGAACTTTCCAGTCACTCCCTGTGCCTCCTCACACACCCATCCACACTGCCCATGACCCTAGACCTCTGCCCCTCTGGCTGTACCACATCCAGGGATCAAATTCTCTGCCTTATCGTGTAGGTGCAGCATGTCAGTGCATTGGTTTTCCAGGATTCACCCATTCAGTTGTTGATGGGCATCAAGTTGTTTCTAGTCTTTGCTGATAAGGATTGGAGCCAATACTGTTGTGGTTTCAGGCAGCTAATTCAGGTGACAGCTTGGAAGCCATGCTTCCCCCACCCATGTAATCCTTTCTGCCCACCTGTGACACTCACCTAGCATTACCTGGAACCTGGGAGAGGGCGGTATGGCATTGTTGTGTAATCGCTCCCCTCCCAAGCCCCATAAAAACCCCTGATAGGGAGGGGCTCTCTCTTTTGGTCACATGCTTCCATTGCTCTTACACGCCAACTTTGGCCTCCCCAGTACCCGCCTGCTCTCTGGCTTCCCATGGACGGACTCTGAGGACAGGTAGCTCTTGAACACAGACCTGGCATGCCTGTATTCCTCACCCTCTATTCACACCGGGGTGATTCAGTGGTAAGATGCTTTGTATTTCTAATTTGTGTACTATCAGGAGTTCCTGGAGAGGTGAGGCCCAGCAATGATGGAATATGGACAGAGAAGCCAGGGCAAGGTGAATCTTTGCAGCATTGTGTGTCCAAGTTGTTCGCTGCGTGTCTTTTAGGTTAGTTTATGTTGCTGGGAAAGCTGGAACATAGGTCTTCAGTTTAACAGACGGACTTCACAGTAATGACTATTTGTTCCTCTCAAGGTTTTGACTCAGACTAGATTGCCATGACATAGAGTTGTCACTTGATAATTTCTAGTAAGCCCTGCCATCACCAAGTGTGGTTAGCAAAGACTCCTTAATACATCCTACACTTATCTGCCATGATCTCTCTCACACCCCACAACAATACTGATGTTTTGTATAAATCTTCCCAAGAATACAATAGAATTTAGGACCTGCTGTCCTGCAATATGGACCCTTGGCATTTGAGAAGGTAGCAGGGACAGGAGGGTCGCTCTCATTTTCCCCTCCGCAGTGCCAGCCAGCTCCCCTCCAGCAGACCCAAAGATCCGCATTGGACAGGTGTCCTCTCCATACCAAAGCAGAGGACGCAAAAACACAGCCGCACCAGAAAGAGCGAACAGGTGTCACTTTCCCCATTTATTTCCACTAGGTCATTCCGCTTCCTCCAGTCACATTTCTTTTTTATTTTTTTAAAAGATTTATTTATTTTTACTGGAAAGTGAGATATATAGAGGAGGAGAGACAGAAAAGATCTTCTGTCTGATGATTCACTCCCCAAGTGGCTGCAGTGGCCGGAGCTGCACCAGTCCAGACAGGAGTGTCTTCCAGTTCTCCCACGTGGGTGCAGGGTCCCAAGGCTTTGGGCTGTCCTCGACTGCTTTCCCAAATCACAAGCAGGGAGCTGGATGGGAAGCAGGGCCATCGGGATTAGAACCGGCGCCCATATGGAATCCCGGTGCGTTCAAGCCAAGGACTTTAGCAGCAGGCTACTATGCCGGTCCCCCAGTCACATTTCTTTACAATGGCTTTCACCAAACTCAAGCATAAAAATATAAGAGTCTTTGTTTCTTTGGGGCTCCATTTCTTTACAAAGAGTCCTGTATCAAGTAAAACAGACTAAATGATGTCCTTGTTAATTTGTATCTTGCTAAAGGGCCTCAGCATGAGGTAATGTTTGTAGAAGTGATGGGTGAAGGAAAGCCCCTTTGGGGCCAGTACTGAGATACAGTGGGGGAATGCCACCATCAGACCACGGGTTCAAATCCCAGCTGCTCTACTTCTGACCCAACTCCCTGATGACATGTCTGGAAATGCAGTAGGTGACACACGTGCTTGGGTCCCCCATATGGGTAGGAGACACAGATGGAGATCCAGGTTCCTGGCTTCAGACTGGCCCAGGTTACATGTAGTGGCCATTTAGAGAGTGAACCAGTAGACAGAAGATCTTATCTATCTATCTACCTATCTTTAACATGAGGCCGTTTGTTGTTGTTTAATATATTCCCTGGGCCCAGCAGAGGATTAAGCTGCCGCATGTGAAACTGGCAAACTCTATCAGTATTTGTTCCAATCCCAGCTACTCTGCTTCCTGTCCAGTGCCCTGTTAATGCACCTGGGAGGGCAGTGAGGCTGGCTCACGGACGTCCTTCCTCTCACCCACATAAGAGACCCGGATGGCGTTCCTGGCCCCTGGCTTCCGCCTGGTGCAGCCCAGGCGGTGGCAGCCATTTAGGAAGTGAAGCAGAGTAGAAGATCTCACTCTGTCTCTCTCCCACTCTCTGACACTGGAATAAATAAATAAGTCTCTTGCAAATAAAAATAGGAAATGGAAAGGTGTTGCTTTTTCCCCCTGCAGATACCATCCTCTCATTTTCCTCAGGCGCGCCTAGGTGTGCAGTGGACTGTTCGTGTGCTAAATGCCTGCTTCAGTTTACGAGAAGCTTTATGAGAAATTTTGCAAAGTGGTTCATCATTTTACAATCCAGCAGCGCAGTGTGAGAGTTCCAGTTGTTCCCGTTGCTGATCTCGTCGGCCTTATTCATTTCAGCCATTCCAGAGGGAAAAAATATATGGACATATACATATTTCTAAACATGCTTAAAGGCAGTGTGATACTCCGTATGTTTGATTTTTGCCCGCACCAAGGAATTCTCACATTCTCTGCTGATCCTCACTGGAGGGACCATCCCTCACATCCTCACCTGCTCG